AAAAAAAAAAAAAAGGGTCAATTCCGACTTTGCTATGACAATCTGGCGCTTCTGAATCAGCGACTGTAAGTATGTTTTGTTATTAGTTTAAGTATTTGCTATTGACTGTTCAAATGCGGAGTTTTGCGCAGCGCAGAGTAATGTGTCGTGTGTGTGTGTGTGTGTGTGTGTGAGGGGAACAGGGTCACATCACAGGAGAGTGAACTGCCTGTCAGAAATCATAGCACGTCAGCTGCCTTAACCGCGGCTTGTGTACTGGATCATCACTGTGTCTGTCACGCGACTCTGTTGCCCTTTCGGGCTTGAACTGATGGTAAAACTAACGACATTATTAACTGTCTTGATATTTACTTTGAAAGCTGAAGCTCGCAAAATAGCATCATATGACCCCTTTAAGAGAACTTTGCCAGAATGTTTACCAAAGTTCTTAGAACGTTCCCGGTTAGCTGGGATATTGAGTATTATATTTTATAAATCAGGGTTTTATGGCATATAGCTTGATATAGGAGAATATGGTACTCACATTCAAGGAGGAAAAAAACACCTGTTTTATTCAGAGGCCCAAACTGAGCAAAAATATGCAATTTTGTGAAGTTAAGATTTATATGGCCAAATAGTATGATGAAATTCTGATAGCTTGTAATGTAAATCAATGTGAGCTTTATAACAGTATAACCGGCTACTTACATAAAATGCATATAGCTATCCATTGTCAATATAATATATCTCCGTAAGATGATAAATGCTTGGTTTTATGATCAAAGCTCCATAGTTTTCATTGTGCAACACAATACAATGATGATTGAGAGATGTGCACGTGTTACTTAAAAAGCCATTAAACATTTCACAGCAGAAAGACGCATGTACCCTGACCTGAAGGGGGATGCATTTAGAATTAAATTAAAAGGCCTTTCTAAAAACAATTAACTATCAACATTTCTTTATACTGTATATATATATATATATATATATATATATATATATATATTCATGCAGAGTGAAAGCATGAGGAAAAAAGACAAGAACATGGTGTGTCAGTCAAGTGTATTTAAAGCTATCTCACTCACAATGAGCATAGCCTGAAACAAAGCAAATGCTAACCAATCAGAGAGCTGGGTCTTGTAGCTATAAAACTGCAGTCATAGAAATAATACTGATCATATATTTGGATTTAAAACATGTACAACAGAACAATCCTATGTAGGAGGGTCTTGTAGTATGCAGCAAATACAACAAAAACGACTATAATAATAACAATATCTAGCACAATAATATTAAAACTACATGTCAATGTTTTCCCCTCCAAACATCAGTGTCAATTCGGTGTATATTAATTCAAGTCTTGTCAAAGCAACAACTGAACACAAAAAGCTTTGTACAGCTGTGTAATTAAAGTGGGGTTAATGCAAAAGATAGTTCATTTTGGATTCAGTGCACAGCACAGCAACAGTTTAGTGGAGCACACATCACTACATCTAGTGAATTATACTGTCCAGTTAAAAACAAACAAGAAAAGATCTCATATTGTAAAAAAGTGGTCTAGTAACATGCATTTCCAGTGAATCATTCTTGGGCCTCCATGATATAGCCATATTACGTCAAAAAAAAACTGATCTGTTTACAATGGAGGCTTCGCTTACCACAATCCTTTGATACTACCATTTCCTCTCCATTGCTGAAAAAGATTCAGTGCTTTTTGTAAATGATCTTAAACAGATCACTACATGGTATATGGCTCTAATCAGTAAAAATGTGAATCTCTAAAGATTCAAGATTCATTGCAGCCCTGTCATAGTGCATCGTTGGAGAAACATCAGCCCGTGAACAGATCAGTGCACAGTAAAACCTGGTATAAGTTAGCAGTATGGTTAGTTTCTCCCAATGTTGTTTAAAATGTCAACCCCAAAACTAAATATTTTGCCCCTATCTACAACCCCTGTAAGAGATGAGAGGAAACATTCCTGCAACACTTGGAAAATCATACATTCAAATAATGCTACTAATACAATAAATAGGCCTGCTGGAAAATCTGAAGCTTTTAGAACATGGTGGATGGTTTCTAGAAAGTTCAAGCTGTCCAAGGCCAATTGGCCATCTTGGTCAAAATAGTTTTCGACTAGCTTAGACCAGGTAGAAACCAGTCACCATCTTCCAAAAACAAACCTACCATTTTAAAAAGAAAGTAAATCAAAAATGATTTATTTACATTCCTTGCAAACCTGTATGACTTTCTTCTGCGGAACACAAAAGAAGATATTCTGAAAAATGCCTCAGTGTTTTTGTCCATACCAGTGATTGCCCAATTTTTTATATATTTTTTTGCCATGCAGCTGAACAAAATTGACCTAAAACAACTTTGACCATTAACTAAGTACCCCCTTAGTTAATACTTTTATAATTTAACAGCTAATTCACATGATGTCCACAGGTTCTCTGACATGCAGGTAAGCAAATAAAATATATATGATCCTGGACCACAAAACCAGTCACAAGTAGCATGGGTATATTTGTAGCAACAGACAAAAATACATTGTATGGGTCAAAAGTATCAATTTTTCTTTTATGCCAAAAATCATTAGGATATGAAGTAAATATCATGTTCCATGAAGATATTTTGTACATTTCCTACCGTAAATATATCAAAACTTAATTTTTGATTAGTAATATGCATTGCTAAGAACTTTAAAAAATTTAAAGGCGATTTTCTCAATATTTAGATTTTTTTGCACCCTCAGATTACAGATTTTCAAATAGTTGTATCTCAACTAAATATTGTCCTATCCTAACAAACCATACATTAATGGAAAGCTTATTTATTCAGCTTTCATATGATGTAAAAATATCATTTAAAAAAAATTGACCCTTATGACTTTTGGTTTTGTGGCCCAGGGTCACATATATTTTGCCGAAATGTGTTATTTAGTATTACTTTTGACTGTTTATATTTTAAATGTATTTATTTCAATTTTTCAATTGTTATTATTTAATTAGTTATTAGCTTGTCATCCACTCACAAACTCCTTGCAGTTCCCTTAAAGCCCCCCGGGGGTTTGCAAATCACTGGTCCACATGATAAAAGTCAATAGGGTCCAATTCTGCTTTAGACACCACTGACTTTTACTGTATGGATAAAAACAGTTGTTCAAAATAAAAATTCTTCAACACACCTTCGTTTGTATTCCACAGTAGAAAGTCATACAGGTTTGGAACGACATCAGGGGGAGTAAATATGACAATACTTTCATTTCTGTGTGAACTATCCATTTAAGCTGGACGACCTTAGGCTGTCACCTTAAAGCTTAAAAATAATTCTGTTTTGCCTGGCACCCAACAATTTCAATCAAGTGTTAAAGGTCTGCCAACTATAAAATGTTAATCAATGAAATATAGAGAAACTGTATTATGGCATCAAAAGGCCACGAGTAAACTAGCCTACTTTAGAAGTCTTGGTCTATTTCCACCGAAATAGCTGAGATGTCATTGTCAGAAAATGTAAACTACTTTAGTAGACATAAAAAGTCTCAGCATCAAGAGAGAAGGGTAAAGTAATATGGCTCTGCTCCTCTCCTTCAGTCATCTGGTGAACACACCAAGTGCAGCTGGTCTGGACTGCCAACACTCCCGGTGCTGGAGCTCCCGTCACCCACGTCCCGGGCCACCATACACGGTATGTTGAGATCCGTGGAGCCACCCGGGCTGGAATCACTTCTGCTCACGCACTCTTCCTCGAGCACCAAACAAAGTTCCTTCAGATCCAGGTTCTCCTTCACCAGACCGTCCTGCATCCGCTCCAGGTCGGCGAGCTTCTTGAGGTATCCGCCGAGGTCCTCGCGCATCACTTTAGCAGAGTGATGGCCGAATAGTTGCCACTCACGGGCGAGCTTCTTCACTTTCAGACGGTCATCGTCCAGAAAGCAGCACAAATCCCGAAGTTCCTGGTTCTCCTCTTGCAGCCTCTGGTTGATGACTTTGAGTTCCCTGATTTCAAGCAGATGTCCCTGCAGTTGTTTATTGACCTCCTTGATTAATCGACCGCGCTGTATGAGAGCAGACATCTTTTCCGATTCTTCTTTGCGGAGTCGACTCACCAGCGCTTCCTTAGAACAAGCCAGCAAGTCTTCATCGGACATCTTTGACAGCTCCCGGTTCAGTATTTCACTGTCGCTCCCCATATTGTACACAAATTCACCATCAATTGTTATTACAGCGGTTAAACCATAAAATAACTCTTGCGGGGCACATGAGATGTCTGTCACTGTAAATGGATCGCAACATTCCTCATCCAGGCACGAAGAAAACGCTCCATTTCCTCTTCGCTCTGCTATTTATAACCTATAATAAAGGGAAAACACACAATTATTATATGCAAACTGTTTTTTTTTTGTCACGTTTAACGATTAAAATATCAAACACGTCCTGATTGTAACACACTAAACAGGACTACCTCTCTCCTCGGTGCTTTAAATTGTAATTGGCAGCATTTATTTCTCAGTATTTAGCTTCTGGGAATCACTGAAGCACAATCGTGTTTGTTCCTGCTCCTCGGGTTGGGATGAGAGGTCAACACGGAGGTTTAAAATAATCCCCGTGGAGCATCTCTTCTCTTCTGTATTATCAGGGATCACAATGTCCGTCCGCATCCGTCTCTCCTCGCCCTAAAGCATTTCCAGTGCACTCCAGTGAACAACCACGGAGCTATTTAGTGTCTAAATAGGCAAAAAATCCAATCGCCTGCGTTCGCATAAAACGCGTTGTAAATATGAAAAAGAAATAAATAAGAGTCGAAATGTAGGACAGGCTGGATATAGGCTACTAGTGCTGCATGCGATTGGTCGGTTTTACAAATAAACAATGTCGGATAATCCGAATGAACGACGCTGAAATGTATGGTGGCTGCCTTCGTGGTGATTCCTGAGGAATTCGTTGATGTTCCTTGAGATTACAGTGCTTCCTTTGGCGATGGTGGTGGTGGTTGGGGAAGCAGTGATGTCTTCCCCCATCTCCTGCTCTCCTCCCTTCCCTTCTTCACCCCCTCCCCTCTTCCCTTACTGTAAAAATCTGTACTGTATCCTGGCTAGTGAGTGAGTTCCCCTCACACAGCTGTTTCTAATGACTAAAGCTCGCCATACTCCTATAACACACTGAAGATACATAGCAAAGGATATTAACACAGGTTTATGTTGAAATGAGGTCTAGATGAGACTGCATACACACGGGACACACACAAAACTAACGGAAAGGGTGACAAAAGCTTTTTCTCTACTTTGAGCCGAGGTATTTAGCCACATCCTTCCGCCCTGCTCTCCAGCACAATTGCTAGCACGAGGACATAACAATGTGGGGTGTTAACCAGGGCCTGGGGTGAGAGGGGGGTTGCTGGAGTGAGAATGGAAACAGGCCACAGTTTCGGATAAACGAGAGGGAGGGGTGAACAACGGCATGCAAGACAATAGGGGTGAGGTGCATGCAGTGTTGAAAATATATACTTGTGCCCTTTGGTGGATTTCAATGAGAGTTAAAGGGTTAGTTCACCCAAAAATGAAAATTCTGTCATTAATTACTCACCCTCATGTTGTTCTATACCTGTAAGACCTTAGTTCATGTTCAGAACACAAATTAAGATATTTTTGAGAGCAAAAATATAATAGAATAGAATAGAATAGAATAGAATCTGAGAGTTGTCTGACTCTGCATAGACAGCAATACAACTGAAATGTTCCCAAGTCCAGAAACGTAGCAAGGAGATCTGTAAAATAATCCATGTGACATCAGTGGCTCAACCGCAATTATGCGAAGCTACGAGAATACTTTTTGTGCGCAAAAGAAAAACAATAACGACTTTATTCAACAATTCGTCTCCTCCGCATCACCCTGGTGCCATTTCGGAGAATATCCGCTGGATGTAAACAACGTATGCTGTTCTGTGTCAGATGCGTCACACGGATACGCTATTTCCATTCAGATCAAATCACAACAAACGTAGGAAACAGATCCGGCGTGACGCAGCTGACACAGAACAGCATACGTTGTTGCAGGGTGATGCGGAGGAGACGAATTGTTGAATAAAGTCGATTGAATAATAGTTGAATAAAAATGTGTTTCTTTTGCGCACAAAAGGTATTCTCGTAGTTTCGTATAATTGCACAAAGTTATGTTGGCTAAACTGCTGCAGGGGATTAAACATTTAACCTTATTGTAATGAAATATCCTAATAATCTGGTAATGATGGCATGGTTATACACATAAATATGAATAAAACAAATAGTAAATTCAGAGAATGTCTTTGTCAGTCTAATCTTCTTAGAAATGTAAGAAATTACTTAATTGTAAAAACACCTGATAGCATCATGATTGAGTCTTTAAAAAATCTTCTATGCTTTTACTATTTCTTAATCTCTCCCTGTTCTATAGTTTACTATTCTAGATGATGTTTGAAACTTTGTATTGTTAACACTTCAAATGTTATTGCCTGCTTAAGATGAATCGCTTGTTGTATTTCTCATTTGTAAGTATCTTGGATAAAAGTGTCTACTAAATGAATAAATCTAAATGTGATATTTTTCAAGATTTGGAGCCAGCTCTCAAACAATCGAATCATCAAATGCGTCATACCTAACAATAAAATAATACGCTTGTGTCAGGTAAGTCCACTCAGGATTTTTAGAAAATACATGTATTGTAGCATGTCTTGTTGTAATTGTTTACAACTGTAATGTATGTTAAAACAACTATAGTTGTAATATATATTAAAATGTTACAATTTATCATCTTATAAAATCATGTTATTTACTAGCACATCAATGTACAAGTCTAAATAAAGAAATAAAGTGATTTAGTGAACTTGGTTATGTGAAAGTAAGTTTAGTTAATTTGACACTTCCTAGATGGTTTCATATCATGACAGTATGCTAGGGCAGGGACGTTTCCTCCTAGTAAATGGCTCAAGGACAAAGTACTAATAGGGCAGGATTGTGATGTCATTAACTTCTCAGTTTCTAGGTTAACTCTACTTGGAATTAAACGTCACAACCTGCTTTCACGAAGAGGCTGCAGCCATCACCATGGATTTTTTTTAAAATAAATGCATTCCATTTGTAATTGTATCACAATCAAAAACGTTATTAACAGTAGTTTAACTAGGATCTATTCAATGATCCACAATCTCACTTTACAGCTGATGTTACTATTCATGTTTTTTGAATTTGAAAGTTTAAGCATTCCTATTTTATTGTATCAAAGTCACAAACAGCACTATTTAACGAGGCCTATAAGACATAGGTTTAGCTGATGGTGGGCTCAGTATTCAACCAGGTCTATTAGATTAATTAAAATAAAGTAAAATATTATAAATTAAAAACAGTGTTATAATGTATATTCTTATATTATATAGTTATACACTACTATATAGATTAAAATATCACAATGTTCTAAAAAATATTAGTGGGATTTATTAAAAAAAAGTGATGTTTCATGCCAATGGTATGACAAAACATTCAGTTTATTGTCTAAAACATTCATTAATATACAGTTGTGATGATACCCGAGCACTCGCTAACAGAAACTACAGTATCAGTCACGTGAAAGTGACGTAATATGAATGCGGCGCACACCCGGGCGTAGTCACGACAGCGTGCTGTTGCTATGGATGAGAAGTAGTCGCTAGATGTGACAGCTAGGGGTTGGTAAATATTTACGTGATGGTTACCACTTACCCGTGTATGATCAACTCGTGGTAATAATCTTTAAACAGCGTGCACGCTTACCTATGAGATAAGCTTGTTTTTTTTGAGTAAAGGTCGAAAGGAACTAGACATACCAAAACAAGAGCTAATGTTGTGACATCTGAATGTGATTAAAAACCAGCTATCGCGTTGATACGCTTGTGTCTGGTAAGTCCGCGTAGTACTTTTTTTGTTGAAAATACATGGTAATGTAGCATGTCTGTGGTGTGTTAAATTTTGTTATGGATTAGTTAAATAGTTAAATATTAGCTAATGGCCGTAGCTTCAATTCTGTATGAGGAATAGCTACTGTCTGTCTGTCAGTCTTGTAATTGACTTTAGTGTCAAAGATTGAGACTCTTAATACCAGTTTATTCTTGCAACTCACTAAGTAACGCTGAATGTTACAGTCATCAGTTTAATTTAGTATAGTGCCGAAGATGTCTGTGGAACTGGATGTATTTGTTGGAAACACCACCATTATGGACAAAGAAGTGTATCAACTGTGGCTGAATGGATATACAGGTAGAGTATTATCCATGAGACCGTAAGTATTGTAATATCTGTTTAGGAATAGGAAGTTAATAATATATTTGTCAATGTGGTCGTCCTCATAGTGAATGATGCAGTGAAGGTGCGGATAGAAGGAGGTGTAATGGAGGAGTGTGAGGCGAGTGCAGAAGTGCTGCTCAGTGACACCATGGACCAGTACAGAACTTTCCAGATGTGCGAGAGACTTTTGCACCACCCAGCTAAACTAGCCAATCAGCTTCTATTTCAGTTCCACCCCCAAGCAAACCTAGCCAATCAGCTTCTATTTCAGATACCGCCAGACAGACAAGCCATGCTCATTGAAAGGTATGCACTGGTTTGTGTCTTGCCAATTTAATTAGTTTGAGTTATTATCCAATTTAAAACATTTATTTGCATTTTTTATTTCTAGGTATTATGCTTTTGATGATTCGTTTGTTCGAGAGGTTCTGGGAAAGAAGCTCTCCAAAGGAACCAAAAAAGACCTTGATGATGTTAGTACAAAGACAGGCATTACGTTGAAGAGCTGCAGAAGACAGGTGAGATGAAGGACTACAGTTTTTACACTTTAAATTCGGTTCTCCTTGGTCTATTGGTCCATAAAAGAAAATTCTACATTAAGTTCTGGTTAGCTTAGCATTTTGTGCTGTCATTTTTATTAGAAAGCCTAAAGATACAAAACAAAAGGCATATGGATACAGCCACAACCTGGACAGATTTTATGACATATTTTGTGAACTTAGCGAACATCTGAAACCATGTGCTGGGCTACATGCACTTGTTATATATGTGTACATGTGGTGGTATGTTTACCAGCTCACAAATAGCTTATAAAATGTGTAAAGTAGTCAAAACAGATTTACAAATTCTTTGTTGCACACATGGAGATCTGCTGCAGAAAGTGGTTCAGATGTCTGTACCGAACTGTAACAGGCTTGAGCATTTTGTCTTTTTAGGGTCGCATCTTGTGACAACTTCTTGATTTTGGTTTGTTTAGATGTCTTTGGTCCATTTTACAGTCATATATCAGTCAAATCATACAAGAGTTTGTTTGGAAGTACTTGTTTGGTTTGAATCAAGGTGGTTTGAAAGAAATCATTTGGTTTGAATGAACCACACTAATAGAGCAATCTCACCAGCGTATAGTTTAATCAAACCAAACCTGCCAAGTATAAACACACCCTAAGACTATAAAACTCTCATTGGTAGCTAAGATTTATGCTTGGATACTTTTCCAAGACCCTTTTGGAAATGAAATGATTGTATCTATCTCCTTAAATATAGTTTGACAACTTCAAGCGAGTGTTCAAAGTGGTGGAAGAACTCAAGGGCCCCCTGGTGGAAAACATCCGGCAACACTTTCTGCTACCTGATCAATTAGCCAGGTGAGAAAGTCTTTTTCTGAGAAGTTTCTTCTTTCTCCAGAAATCTGGTAGAATTGAGCTCAGAAAATGAGGAACCAAACAACAACAACAAAAAAGGAATGGTTGTTACTAGGGCTGCACAATTAATCGAATTTCTAATCGCGATTACAGTTATGGATGCCACAAGTACGTAATCGTTCAAAGCGGCAATTAATCGTTCAAAGTCCACTTATGTTATTCTGCATGCTTAAGATGCGTTTTTTTCTTTCTACATGTTATCTTAAGGGTTTTCCCCATTATTTTAATTTTAGTTTTACTATAACATTATAATACCATTCATATTTTTACTTTTTTATAATTTAAAGAAAAAACCAATCCGATGTATAGTTGACATTTCAGGCTTAATACTATAGAAAAACACAAAGTTTTTCAGTTAGTGTTTTCAGCTTGTTTATTTTCATATAAAAATTAGGGATGCTCCGATCCGCCTTTTTCGCCTCCGATACCGAATCCGATACGTAGGGTTCGGTATTGGCCGATACCGATCCTATACCAGTGAAGTTGTTTTCCCTCATTTAAATAAATGTAGAATTTATATATCTCTGTGTTACATTTCTTTTAAATGTATAGCATATTTTTTAATAAGGCAACAACATATGATAGATACGATAGGACAAAACAAATACAGTGCAGCACGAACTGTTTTTATACAGTCTATGAGCACGAAGCGCTTACAATGTGCGCATCCGGTGTGCAGAATGATGCACTTGAAGCAACACGGCGTCACAGCCTGACATATGTTGTTGCCTTATTAAAAAATATGCTATACATTTAAAAGAAATGTAGTTTAATTTTATAGTATATACTTATATATAAATACATTCATGAATATAATGGGAACACAGAATGATCTTGGAGAGAGCTTTACCGAACTGACTGCTGTAACTGAACGCGACCAGTGTTTAAAGGCTGAACGAATGACTGACAGCCACAGCGGAGAAAAGAGCTTGTGTGAACTTTAATGTAAGGACTTAAATATTCATATGTAGCTCACATTAAGCTATCGTATGGCTTCAGAAGTAACACAGAATAATTTGCACAATCGGGAAAGAAAAAAAAATAAATAAAAAAATCTCGGATTTGAATCGGCCCTCTCTGACCGATACCCGATCCGAGAAAAATGGCACTTTCGGAGCCGATACCCGATATTAATATCGGATCGGTGCATCCCTAATAAAAATACGGCATGCAGTTGCATCAAACAATGGTATAAACATCATTCAATGTAAATTGTGATAATCGTAATTAATAATCGCAATTACAATTTCAAGGGAATAATCTTGAAATTCAATATGAATTTTTGTCATAATCGTGCAGCCCTACGTTACATTATATGCATCCATTCTTCCAGTTGTATATTCATTAAAATTGTGAGAATACAAGTTCCCATGTACAGTTGCTTCAGTGTTGATTTAGTGCGTTTTCACCTTCTCTTGCTAAATGATCCTGCCAATTCCTCCTGCAGAGACTATGCTGCAATAGTGTTCTTTGCCAATAATCGTTTTGAGACGGGGAAGAAAAAGTTGCATTATCTAACCTTCCAGGACTTTGCCTTCTGTGCTGGGCAGCTCATCAACAACTGGACTCTAGGAGCTGTGGGTAAGACCAGTTACACAGCTCTTACACAGCCATCTGCAATACTTGAAATTGGTCAATCGTGGCGATAAATGGTCAAATATGTTTGTATAATGGCCACTAAACTAGGGCTGCACGATAAATCGCATGCGATATTTAATGTGCATCTTGTCAGTAAAGCCGGTTCTGTAATCAGCGGTAAATCTCCATCACGTACGTTACTACACAGAGCCTTTGTTCACTGACAAGCTGAACTAAACCATGTTCATATATGATAGTGGTTTAGCGCAGCTTGTCAGTGAACAACGGCTCTGTGTAATAAATGCTGCTCAATGTGAAAGCATGCACATGATGGAGATTTACCGCTGATTACAGAACCGGCTTTACTGACAAGATGCGCATTAAATATCGCGTTCGATTTATCATGCAGCCCTACACTAAACTATATGACAGTTATGCCAGGCAGCCCATTCCCTATATTTGGATTGCTTAATTATGTCTCTTGTACCACTCAGGTTATTTTATTATTATAATAATTAATCATACTGTATTATTAATAATTACATATCTGTTTATTTTTTAAGTAGCCATATATTAAATATATGAGAATATACAGTCAACTGGTCATTGTTGTAAAATAAACCTCTTCAGAGTGATCCATTTATGTCTTAATGTTCTGAATTAATTTGACATCTGCATGTTCTTGAGTATCTAGTCTGAGGTTATTAATGGACACCGTAGTTTAGAAAAATATTGACATAGATGAAAAGATCTCCTTTTATGTCTTTGTTCTCTCAAAATCCATAATTTCTCTCCTTTAGATAACATAATGGACGACATGGATGTAGATCTGGATAAGGAATTCCTTCAAGAGCTCAAAGACCTCAAAATTCTAATCACAGACAAGGATCTCTTAGACCAACACAAAAGGTGTGTGTGTTTGAGCGAGTGTTTTGGACAGGGAGAAGAGAGATACGGGTCTGAGGAGGGCCGTTGTAAATGTCCTAATGTTGCATGCGTACTCCCTCTGTCTCAGCCATATGAATAATGAAACCTCTCATCCACTCAGTTTAGTGTGCACCGCTCTGCGGGGTAAAACCAATGTCTTCAATGAGATGGAAGCCAATTTTAAGGCAAGAGGTTTTATATTCTTGTGAAATTAATGTTTTTCTACATGATTCGTGATTTCAAAATATCTCCTGCTGTAGAATCTTTCAAGGGGCCTTGTAAATATCGCTGCCAAATTAATCAACGCAAAAGATGTTCGTGATTTCTTCATTGACCTTGTCGAAAAGGTACCTTTTTAGTTTAATAAAAGCATCTATCAGATCTGATGTGCTCACAAAGCATTAATTCCTTGTTCTCTTTACAGTTTATCGAACCTTGTCGATCAGACAAATGGACATCAATAGACGTGAACCTCTACCTTACTCATTATACTAACTCAGCACATATCCTTGACACTTTCAAGTAAGTCTCACTATGTTTGTTGTACAGTAATTTCTTTTTTTATTCAACAATTGCTGCATATAGAGGTCTGTGTTCAAAGGAAAATTCTCTTTGCAACCAGTGGGGGTCACTGTATCATATGCACATTGTTTTATCTGTAGTCACCTCTGTTTCCTGTCCAGTCATTTATGTGGTTAGACCACTGTGGAATGTGGTTTTCTGTTTATACAAACAAAATCACAACACTCAGAATCAGTTGGAAAATATGTATTTATCTCAAACTGCACTATTTTTTAATGTTTATGAAAGAAGCCTCTTATGCTCACCAAAACCTGCATTTATTCAATCAAAAATACAGTAAAAACAATAACACTGAAATATCATTACAATTTAAAATGACTGTTTTCTTTTTGAATATATTTTCATTTATTCAAATCGTTCTAATATGCTGATTTGAAATATTTCTTATTATCAGTGTTTGTGTTGACAACAGTTGTGCTGCTTAAAGGGGTCATATGATGCTATTTTAAAGATCATTATTTTGTGTATTTGGTGTAACAGAATATGTTGACATGCTTTAATGTTCAAAAAACACATTATTTTTCAAATACTGTACATTATTGTAGGTCCTCTATGCCCCGCCTCTCTCAAACGTGTCGTTTTCAACAAAGCCCCCTCCTTTGACAAGTGCAGTCTGCTCTGATTGGCCAGCTGACCCAGTGCATTGTGATTGGCCGAACACCACAAGCACGCGTCGGAAATGTAACGCCCCTTACCATAATCGCAGCTTCAGCTTTCAAAGTAAATATCAAGACAGTTAATAATGTCGTTAGCTTTACCATCAGTTCAAGCCCGAAAGGGCAACAGTCGCGTGACAGACACAGTGATGATCCAGTACACAAGCCGCAGTTAAGACAGCTGACTGCACCAAGAGCTTGTAACACTCCAAAGAGAAAGGAAAACTTGAAATCGCATCATATGACCCCTTTAATATTTTTTTAAGATATATTTTTTTCAGGATTCTTTGACGAATAGAAAGTTCAAAAGAACATCATTTATGTTTTATTAAGCATTTATTAAGTCTTTACTGTCACTTTTGATCAGTTTAATGCATCCTTGCTGAATAAAAGCATTTCTTAAAAAATATATTAATAATCATCATCTTACTGACAACAAAATTTTCAGTGGTAGTGTTTATGAAGAGAATTTCACATCAAAGTATCAAAGTAAACATTTCAAATGTACATGTATTTATAAGTTGAAAAAAAGTGACACGTTTTTAAACCTCTCCCTCTTTTTTTTTTTTCCTCAGGCACCATGCTGTCTGGACCAGGTACATGGGAGTTATCAAAAGTTGCATCCTTAGAATGTACCACGACTAAAGAAGAATCTCCATTTTTGCCTTTTCTCTCCCTTAATGATAACTCATCTGCATGCAGTCATGCAGCTGATGATTATTTGGTCTGATGTTAAATTTTTTTCCAGTTTATCATCTACTTTCTTTAATCCTTTCCCAAATATGTCCCCCTACCAGCTGTCCATCTCTTCACCTCCCTCTCCCTCTATCCCTGCTTCATTCTTTCACTCCTTGGCCTCCAGAACTGTATGACTTGTAAATAAACACAGCATGATTTCCTCAGACACTGTCTGCACTGTGTTTTCATTACCTCTGCTTTGTGGGTTTTCCCATTTAACAAACCCACTTAAAAAAAACCCCAGTATATTTGGTAATGATGGAGGTTCAGAACAAGACTATGCACTGATCATACTTGTTTTGACTGACATAATTTGGGGGTCTTAATGGTAAATAACGTGCTAACAGTCCAAAGGATGTTGTGGCTTACATGTGCGTCTTTATGGCCCATATACTCCTGACCCCTCTGGCTTGACTAGGGTAAGTGGGTGCACGATGGGTGTGAGGTCTGTGTGTGGGCCCACTGGGGGCCGGGAAAGCAGTAGGGGGCCACAATTTGTCAGGCCTTGGTGGCACGATGTACGTGTGTGTTTTTGCAATAATAGTATGTAATGACAGCTGTCAGGCCTACCACATTACTCTTAGAGGTGTTTTGGTACAAGAGTAATGGCAAGCAGATTTGTTTGCCCTTTTGTCATTTGCAGAGCAAAACTATGTTTATTTCTTTGTATAATTTGATGAAGCTTGAATGTGATGCCTCTAACATCAGGAATGCGCAACTGATTTTGTGACTTGACACAACCGAGTTAGGTACAATGTATAATAATTTCTTTATTATATATGGTATATAAAAGGCCTCAATTAAGCAAAAGCATTCTGTATGTCCCTGACATGTTTTTATAAATATAAAAACTATATTAACATACTATTCGTATGACTTCTGCCAAAATAAATAGTATGTTAGTTGCTATTCTGAATTCAGTATTACACTCTTAAAAATAAAGGTTCCAACGATTGTCATAAATTTGAGATTCTTAGTCCACTAAATCTGTCTTCCAGTAATTTTGTGTAGGCAACTACAGATTTCATGTTTAGCAAATTTCAATTAGTAACAAGAAATTGTATATGGTTTTATATATATATATATATATATATATATATGGTTTATGTATTTGTTTCTGAAAGAAGAGTCACCTTACAAAGCAAACATATCCGCAATAAAGTTTTAAACAGTTGATACACAACTGCCATGATGACACAAACTTGACACAAGCTTCAAAAATGGTGACAGTGTACAAATGTGATGTTAAGAGCTCATCCTTTTACAAAACACATAACTAACAGTAATGAAGAAACAGCTTAAAGTCAGCAAAGCAATAATCCTTTAACAGCATTAACAATATTGCTCAATATGACATTCTTAGTCCAGACTTTGACTAGTTGGGACAACATTTGGGGGAATTCTGTTGAACTAAAATGGTTTTCAATGTTTTAGTTACAAGCAAGTCACATTTCTTTGGTATTTGTGACTCAAAAGCTCCCATAAACTGGAAAATGTGTGGTATCTTATATTTGGAGAACATTTGATTGGACAAAAATGTGTGTAATGCAGTAATTAATATGTACATTTCATATACAGGTATCTGCTAAAAGTGAATTTTGTCAACATTGACAAGTATTTAAGCATGCTGATAGACCCAAACTTCTAATTTCTAATTCATGCTCTATTGAGCATGTAAAGTAAAAATGTACTAGCAGTAAGAATGTGAGTCTTTCCATTGCCTCTCATTTCTAGTAATATCAGCCTGTGAGTACCTCCAGTTTCAATATTTAGACACAGCAAAAAAAGCGAACAACTTTTCCAAGCAGACGTGCGTCCTATCCTCCCTTCTTTCACTCTACCCTTGCCTCCTCTCTGTCTTTCTCTTTCTAGTTTGCTCTCTAATTTTTGTCTGCATTCCACCAGCTTCTCCTAAGCTATAGATATCCAGCTGAATGAAAGGAATAGAGAGAGCAAGAGACCGAAAAAGATGGGAGAGATGAAGGGTGACTTGAGGTGGAGGGGAAAAGAGAGAAAGAAAGTTGCAGGCTGTGGGGGGCGAGTTTAAATGAAACCAGGTGGGGTCTCTGCCTGTGTGTGTGTGTGTGTCTGTGGCTGGTTCATATGCGTGTATGGAGGGGGGTTGGCTGCATGTGTGTGTGTGTGTGTGTGTGAATCTGTATGCTGTTGTTCTGTCGTTGAGCTGGACAAATTTGGAATTTTGGAATTTGGGCCGCAGACCAGGAATTTTCATCCTGGGGGGTCAGACGAGGGGGGTCTGGGGGCGGAGGATGGCCGTGCAGGGGGGCTGTATGGGGGTCGGAATGGGCTGTCCCTCTCTCCTCTCTTCCGTCTTTCCCTCCCTTGCATACATTCACAGTCCAGCTGTCCGTCTCCACACTCACTCTATCAGGCTGAGGAGTGAGGATAGAAGAGAAGACGTGCCACCACTGCACTGAAACAAACTAGAGAGGGATCCACCGGAAGAAAAGAAGGAAAACTACTGCATTCAAGAACACAGTAAGAAGAAAGCCCGGCCTGTGAGTATAGCGTGTTTGCGAAAGAAAATCTAATATTGCACTGTAATATAATGTCATTGTACTCCAGTAGCTGTTATTTGCATGGGGTCTTTGGGCCATTGTGGATCTGCTCATATAAGTAAAGCAGACACGTCAGGCTGAATTGAAGTTATGTCACAGACAGTGTGGCAGAAGGAGAAAGCGATAAAGGGCAGACTAAGGAAAATTTCAACTGGCCGGTTTGCTCCAAGGCTGCACACGTCACGCTCACTCTCCAGCTCTCTTCCAAACATCCACGACTACAGACAGCACACTAGAGAGAGAACAATCAATCACATTATTCGGCAGATTCCACATCTCCTACCATACATACTGGTGAAGATTGTATTATCTTATTATATCTACCAACTTTCCATGCTTCTGCATAAAAAGTTATGTTTTTAAAAAGCTTAGTTTTAACATTTATTACTCAACCATCGTGATGGTTTTACACATCTCTACACGTCTGAAGTGTTGCAAAACTTTCCAATCTCTTTTCCAACCTCTGTTTCACAACCAGACTAATACCATTGACTGTACGTTGTTATTTGAGCCCTGCGAGCGTAAAATGGGTGACTTTGTTTAGATAATGTTTCTATTTTTAAAGACAAAAAGCTGATTCATACAAACTCTCGTCTGTTGATATGATATGAACGACACAGCAGAATGGGAACATTACGTACAGACTCTCAAAGGTTTCTGAGGACACACAAAGGTCTGGGAATTTGTGGCTTGTGTGTTTATACCAAAATCGTTTTGGAAGCACAGGTGTTGTTATAAGAATGAAGGCTCAATAAAATGGCTATGTGACATCAGAACAGGGAACACTGCTTTACTGTACTTATACAGGCCACTGCTGTTACGTCACATTTGTTTATGTGTTCTACTAATTACTTACGTTAGATGTTTTATTTTATATGGCTAGATGCTGACTTGAGCATTCATATAAAAGCAATGAGTGTGACAGGGAGTCAAGTAAATCAGACTGGGGCCCTCTGTTGTAGCCACATTAGTTCTCTATTTTTGGTATTTGGAAATATTAATTTGTCTTCTCAGGACTGCTAAAGTAAGCAACGTGGAAGTAGTGAGCATCATTGATGGCCACCAAGGATCTTGTCTAGAACTTTTATAATATATACACTACCGTTCAAAAGTCTCATTCAAAATTTTTTAATTCTATTCCGCAAGGATGCATTAAATTGATCAAGAGTTACGTTACAAACATATTTATTTTTCAAATAAATGATGTTCATTTTGAACATTATATTCATCAAAGAATCCTAAAAAAACTTATCATGCTTTTCAAAAAAAAAATGAAGTAGCACAACTGTTTTAAATTTTGATAATGATAAGAAACATTTCTTGAGCAGCAAATCAGCATATTAGAATGATTTCTGAAGAATCATGTGACACTGAAGACTGGAGTAATGATGCTGAAAATTCAGCTTTGCCATCACAGGAATAAATGACATAAAATAGAATGAAATAGAAAACCTAATTGTAATAATAATTGTTCAAATAAATGAAGCCTTGGTGCATACTAGTAAGAGCCTTTCAATCGTCAAACCCCAAACGTTTGAACACTTAGTACTTGTTTCAAGTTGTTGTAAATCAATCTTTGAATATAATTTTCAGTGTCTGTATAATACTGTAGCCAAAATACAAACAATTGAGTCACTTGAAAACTTCAGTAACTGCTGCTGATGTAAACGGTACAGTTAATGTGATAAACTACATTTATGGACACTTGTTGAAATAGAGAACTGACTTTGTACATCCCCTAAAAATTACCTTGAGACCGTTTAGTTAAGAATAACTTCAAAATTAGCTAAGAAAAGAGAGATTTTCTTAGTAACAGCCTCTCATTTATTTGTAGATGCCACTTATTGTAGATATTTTGGTCACACTTTAGTTTGGGAACCAATTTTCACTATTAACCAACTACATCTTTTGCCTCAATAGACTCATAATTTTCTGCTTATTAACAATTAGTAAGGTAGTTGTTAAGTTTAGGTATTGGGTAGGATTAAGGGATCTAAAATATGATTATGCAGAATAAGCCATTAATATGTGCTTTATAAGTAGTAATAAACAGCCAATATGCTAGTTATATGCATGCTAAAAAGCAACTATTTAATAATGAGAATTGGTCCCTAAACTTAAGTGTTTCTGATATGTTGTATCTAATGCTGACATTCGAACATTTTAAATTGTGGCTTAAGTGTCCAATTCATTTGGGCAAAAACCACAATGAATACACGTGTCTATGCCGTCTTTGTTACCAGTGCAGCCATGGGGGTCCTGACATAAAAAACCCTCTTGGGTTTGCACAGGTGGGAGGAGAGGAGGTTGTATTCATAAAATTATAAGTGCACTGACCAGCAAAGTTTAAACCTGGGGCCCCTGCCTGAGGCTCCAACCGCCTGAGTGCTTTGCCCACCATGAGTTTAATGCCCAGCTGAGCACACGGAGTTAACCGTAGACGTGACACTGGACTAGTGTGAGCATGTTTATAAGGGTGAAGGAGAGGTAGGAGGAGAGCGTTTGTCATTACATATGTGTGGTCTGCCCATGAAGTCCAGTCTTTATTACTTGCGTTATTTGCGGTCATATAATCACTGCAGACTTTACAAAAGTCCGGGGACTACCAGCCAACCAAATGTTAAGCAAACCATCTGAAGTGCCCAATGTTTATTAATTTTGCTTCATAGGTAGCCATATGATGATGACACATCTTCTACAGAAAATTCTAAAAAAGTAGAACAGAAAGTAAGACTTATACAAGGGCATTCTGGGTAACCACACTTTGACCTTTTCGGTGAACCTTGGTGGGGGTTTCCCAGGAATGTGATACTGTGGGAAACACAGCAAGTGTCCGGCTGACCGTTATTCAGAGCGCTGCCCACATCCTCTCCGCTGGCATTCCAGAAGGTCAAGTGCCACTCAAACATGATGGTAGACGATATTACCCACGCCTCCACACTGCCCACACTCCGGTCAAGCGACTGGGCCGTGCTCTTGCTGGCCTCGAGTTTGTATATGATGGTTGATTTCAGGTTTTTCCCAGTCCAGTGCAACACCACAGGGACAGCCTGCTTTGAGATTTTGCGGGTCGCTATTTAAACCATAAGTAGCACGTAGGTCAGTCAGTAGGAGCGGGTAAATCACACAGATGAGAGATTTGCGAGCATGTTTGATTTGTCGCAGCGTTTCAGTGTGTTTGCGTGTGAAGTCGCAAGTGTTTCTTGTACGGCGGCTACTGTAAATGGCTTGAATCATTTCATGCGGTTTGGGAGGAAAAGCACAACAATTCTATCTGGAGGCTGATGCAGCGGGGATAGAATGCGCAGATTTGCACGTCACCCTGCGGTTTGCTGTTTGTCGCACTGAGTCAACATGACAATACTTTTAGACTGGACTCTCTGAACTCTTGCGTTTTCAGAAAAGAGCTACTGTTGGGCTCTGTGTCATGTTGGAGCAGCTTTTGTCTTTCCATACATGTTTGTGTGCACACTCTATGTAAATGTCAATGTGTGTGTGTATTTAGAGAAAAGAAGGCCAGGAAAATAGAGTTGCATTTAATAGGTCTGTGCAAAATCTTGACCTTAGTGAAAAGCCAGAAATGTTTCATATAAATTACAGTTAATATTTAATAATTACAGTTAATAATTGCTCTTGGGGTATTTGAATGAAGAAAGGAGCTATCAAAACTAACAAATAAGTACTGTACATCAGAGAGAGAGAATTTTGATAATCTCAAATGGTCTAAATTAACATGAATTATTGTATTAAGAACAAAAAATGAATGAACAATTAACAATAATAGGTCTATATTTATACATTAAAACAAAATAAATTCTGTAAAATGATATAGTGGACCATTGTTAGCTCATTATACTGAATATATTAACAAACATCAACAAATTGAACTTTATTGTGAGTTATAAGTGTTATCAGATTCAGATTCATTCTTTATTGTCCTCAGAAAGAGGAAATTTGTTTTCACAGACTGTACCCAAGTAGGCCTGTCGCAATAATCAATATATCGACTTGTCGCACAATATATGAACATGACCTCAATAATTTTTGTTGACGCAATATATCGCCTATTAAATTTACTTAAAAATGAATGTCACCATGTTTTGTACATTCCACTTGCACAGGCTACATTATGATTATATATTCAGTGGCATAAAATGGTCTTTAAAATGACAATAATATCGCTTATCGCAATTATATCTCGGGCAATATATCGCACGACAAAAAGCTGTTATCGTGACAGGCCTATACACAAGCTGTACAGTCTGATAAAATTATGTTACCATTTATTTTATTTTCAGCAAATGTATAATTGCTATTGGTACTCTGTTTAAATATCATATACATTTAATTTATATTTATGCATTTAGCAAATGCTTGTATCCAAAGGGACTTTTAGGAACTCAAGCATGTTGTCAAATATCAGTATCAATATTTGTAATATACAGTGACAGATTTATTAGACATCTAGATTAGGATATCATGGTATATAAATGAAAGTTCCAAAAAATTATGATCTGATACGGTCACAGTACAACAGTACTTTTGAGAACAGGTAAAGAGTCTATTTAGAAGTCTGATTCTCTCTGTTTATCTCACAATGCATACCATAATGCAAGTATCATAAAAAAACATGAGTGATTACACAATAATTAAAAAATCATTAGTCTTATTTTTTCAGTACTATTCAAGTCTGAGTTTATATTGCTTCCTATTATATGCACACTATTGCTTCCTGAGGGGGAAGTCGTGGCCTGATGGTTAGAGAGTCGGACTCGTAACCCAAAGGTTGCGGGTTAGTATGGGTCACCATACTTGGCCACATGTCACTTCACTCATATCTAAGTCTTTTTGATTTTGTTGCAATTTTAATTAAACCACTAGGGGGAGTATGGTAATCAAGCAATTTTTAGCGGTCGTGTGGATTGCTATTAGAGGCCCTGACACTACATTAGGCCTATACACTTAATAGTGAGTGAGTGAGTGACGTGAGTGAGTGAAGTGACATGTGGCCAAGTATGGTGACCCATACTCGGAATTAGTGCTCTGCATTTATCCCATCCAAAGTGCACACACACAGCAGTGAACACACACACACCGTGAACACACACCCGGAGCAGTGGGCAGCCATTTTTTTTGCTGCGGCGCCTGGGGAGCAGTTGGGGGTTCGGTGCCTTGCTCAAGGGCACCTCAGTCGTGGTATTGAAGGTGGGAGAGAGCGTTGTACATTCACTCCCCCCAGCTACAATCCCTGCCGGTACGAGACTCCAACCCCGCAACCTTTGGGTAACGAGTCCGACTCTCTAACCATTAGGCCACGACTTCCCCCAATAAACCACAGACATCTGTTTTAATTTTTAGTTATGACTAATACAGTGGGATCACTTATATGTGTTCGAACAGTGATGCATAAAGACCTCTCAAGCGGTTTTGTTTCTCATCCACAGATTCCTCAGTGTAACTTCATCGCAGCATCATCTAATCCACACCAGAGACTCTATCAGCGAGTGTGTATGTGTGTGAGAGTGTGAGAGTGCATGTCTGTCTGATTGTTTCTCTTTAGTCAACGCTCTTGGAGGTGTTTTTGTGCCTGTGCTCATCAGAGTGTGTAGAAGGTGTGTGTGAGGATGCGGCCCGGGTGTGTTTTGGTCTTTTGTATGTGCATCTCTGTGTTTCTTCACCGCGCTATTTCACAGCCACCCACAGAAACTGACACCTACACGGTAAGGAGGAACGAAACCTCCCCGTCTTTCTCCCTCCCTTTTCTATCTTTAAATACATCTTCATAATGTATGTTAAATTATTGTATCTTTATATCTTATATTCACACACAATGTGTAACTATGCGATATACATATAGTTTAATTTCCCTGTAAAGTGTGCTACTTTAATTCATGTTTTATTTTTTTCCCCTATAGGAATGTACAGATGGATATCACTGGGATCCACAGACTCAACACTGCAAAGGTAAAACACAAAACATCCAATTAAAAGGGTCCTTATGCAGAGTTCAACACTATCTAATACCCTGACCAGGATATCTGTATAAGTTCACTTTACTTTAAAACAAATCATCAAATACAGACAATAGTTAAATCACACAGATAAGGAGTTTTGGATAAGTACACACACACACACACACACACACACCCACACACAAACAATTTAATTAAAAATGTGTAATAAAAATAAATATAATTTTTTTTAAACCTATAGTTATATGATATATAATAAATACACAGTAAGATTTGTCAGTAAGAGTTTTTTAAAATAAATTTAAAAGAACACATTCCATTGATCAGAAGTGACAGTAAAGACATTTGCAATGTTATAAAACATTCTTATTTCAAATAAATGTTGTTCTTTTGAACATTCTATTCATCAAGGAATCTTGACAAAAGGTATCCCAGCTTCGTTTGAAATTATATTTCACAATATTAATGTTTTTGCTATATTTTTGATACCTTTCTGAGCATAAGAGAAAATAATTTTAGTGTAGTTTACAGTAATGTTTAAAGGGGTCCTATTATGCTCTTTTACAAAGTTTTGATTTTGTTTTGGGGGTGTACTAAGCTGTCCTCAGTAAAATGCGCAGCACACAATAGCAAATTGGGGTTATAATGCTCAGGAACAGAGTTAAAAAATAAATTGCAACCACTGTTTCCTGACATCATCCGCTTTCGGAAGCCCAAACAAAGACGTTTGGGCACAGAGGTGAAAAAAACAGCGTTTCAGGCGGTCGCCCACCAGACGAGAAGCGCAGCGTCGCGTCGCGTCGCGTCACATCTTTAAAATTCAAATACATTATTTTCTATGAGTGTAGGCACACCGGCAGCGCCGTTCGGCAACCCCAACCTCGCCCCTCCCCACCCCCCAACTGTTCGAATTTCTGTAGGCGGGAATTATTTTTTAATGATATTCTAATGAGCCGCTTTGTGATATCACAAAGCCCGGAAACCAATGCTGTAGTCTAAATGAGCCGTTCGTTGTAGTTCTTGAAAAAATATTTTTTAAAAACGAAATATCTCCCCTTGGAGTGGACTTTGAGATTTGTAACTTTCTAGACACACTGACTAAAATAAAAAAAGTGAAAAAGCATAATAGGACCCCTTTAATATTATATATTTAAAGTAACAATTCGACATACTGAAACCTCAGTATTAAACGACTGTTGCAATACTAGTGTATAATTTATGTATGTGTCTTGTAACTGTTATGTAACTATTATCATATAGTGTGCTTTTTACCCACAAACACCTGTGTATTCTGCCTGAAATGTGTGTCTGCAGATATAAATGAATGTGAGACAATCCCAGAGGCCTGTAAGGGAGAGATGAAGTGCTTTAACCACTATGGGGGCTACTTGTGCCTTCCTCGCTCTGCCTCGGTCATCCCTGCCCCTGAACCACCCAACCAGATCCACCCCAGCCTGGAGAACACGGCCAGCGAGCCATTCAACCCGTGCCCTCCAGGTTTTGAGCCCCAGGGAGACAGCTGCGTGGGTGAGTGTGTGAAAACAAGCGTGTGTTTGCAGAACAGGTGTCAGACGGCCTGCGAGTTTGCAGGAATCAGCGTTGTAAACAGTAGCATGCCATTATACAAAGTCACCGAGTCATGTTATGTGTGTCCGGATCAAAATCAGTTGTATCAGTGAACGGGATGGTGAAAGGGGGATTATTGCATGCAGTGTTTTAGTTTTGACTGTTAGCGCTTGAATGACTCAGACAGAAACAGGTGGTCAGGGGAAATGGTCAGCTAGTTTTTGCGCTCAGACAACTGTGGGAGTCGTGCTGAAGTCTTGGCAGGGGGCCGGTCTGCAGGGGGTCGAAGAATTTACTAAGACTGAGGCATCCCAGCTGTCGTCTACCGTCAAGAGGAAACGAATAGAGATAACGTTACTCAAGACCGCTATGTAGACACAGCTTTCACTTCCCATGAGCTGTGAACCAATAAATGCTGCAATAACTACATTCCACACTTATGGCGGCTCCAGTGCCAAAACTGAGAAGACAAAGAAAGATAAAAACCGAACCAGAGATGTGTCAACAATACATTTCCATGATTCTGTCTCACAACAAACAGATGTGGATGAGTGTGAACAGGACAGTCACGACTGCCTGCCCAGTCAGCAGTGTTTCAATACAGAAGGCTCCTTCTCCTGCCAGTGTCCAGATGGGTATCGCAAAGTGGGAACAGAATGCATTGGTGAGAAATGAAAATTCCTGTGTAATTCTGTAGCAAAACCACAACATATTTAATCTCTCCAAAAAATCCATCACAAAGGTGGATTTTTATTTATACTCATGTCATTTTTATTTATACTCGGGTCGTTCCAAGCCTTCCTTTGTGAAAAAGAAGTGCACTTAAAGGGGTTCTTCACCCAAAAATGAAATTTCTGTCATCATTTACTCAGCCTCAAGTTGTTCGTAACCTGTATGAGTTTTTTTCCTGCTGAATACAAAAGAAGATATCTTGAATAATGTGTGTATCCAAACAGTCATGCATTGACTTCCATAGTATTTTTTTTTCCATACTATGGAAGTCAGTGTGGTCCATCAACTGCTTGGTTATCCATATTCTTAAAAATATCTTCTTTTATCACAGAATTGAAGCTGGTTCATTTACATATATGTTGAAACCAAGATGCATCTCACCAGGGTTGAGGTCATGAAGGTGTAAATGTTGACAGGCTTTCATTTTGGGTGAACTTTTCTTTTAAAGTTTGGATTTGATACAATTTCAATATTAAGTAATGTTTGCAGGTAAAATGAGTTAATAAAGTTAGCTCCAGTACCTGCAAAGTTATTACTTGACAAGAGCTTATATTATCTTTAAAGCGATAGTTCACCCAAAAATGAAAATTCTGTCATTAATTACACACCCTCATGTTGTTCCAAAACCGTATGACCTTCATTCATCTTCGGAACACAAATGAAGATATTTTTGATGAAATCCATGCACTTTCTGACCCTCCATAGAGAGCAATGTAACTGAAATGTTCCCAGACCCAGAAACATAGTAAGGACATCAGTGGTTCAACCCAGGGGCGTAGCCATCATTTCTGTAATCTATATAACCTACCAGTCAACAGTTTTTGAACAGTAAGATTTTTAATGTTTTATAAAGAAGGCAGAATAGTTTCTATGCTGTAATAAATGCTATGTCAATCTGTAATTTTACGAAGCTACGATAATACTTTTTGTGCGCAAAGAAAACAAAAGTAACGACTTTATTCAACAATTCTCCAAATCACATCTTCCGCCATTATCGAGTACCCTCTGCATGTAAACGCATGCGCGTGATGCTGCTGACGTAGAACATGCACGTGCTGAGCCTTGTTTATGTGCAGAGGAAAGCAATGCGCATGCGTCGTGGTACTCTCCATAATGGTGGAATACGTGATTTGGAGGAGAAGAATTGTTGAATAAAGTCATTACTTTTGTTTTCTTTGTGCACAAAAAGTATTCTCGTAGCTTCGTAAAATTACAGTTGAACCACTGATGTCACATGGAATGTTTTACCGATGTCCTTACTACCTTTCTGTGCCTTGACCATGGTAGGACCCTTGCTGTCTATGAAAGCTCTCAAGATTTCATCAAAAATAACTTAATTTGTGTTCTGAAGATGAACGAAGATTTTACGGGTTTGGAACTAAATGAGGGTGAGTAATTAATGACAGAATTTTCATTTTTGGGTGAACTATGCCTTTAAATATGATCTTTCATCTCATATTAAGTTATATTATCTTAATTATGTTAATTATAATTTAGAAATATTATCTTAATATTGATAATATAATATCTATAAATAATATTAGTAAACACTTTTGAAACAAGTTGTTGCCAGGGTTAAGTTCCAGAGAGGATTCCATTTTATGAGTATATTGTGCATTAAATTACATTAAATGGCGAGATTATATCATTGTCTGTTCAGTCATACCAATGAGGAATAAATCTGATTTATATGTGATCTAATTTTATGTTTTAATACTTTTCAGACATTGACGAGTGCCGGTACCGCTACTGTCAACATCGCTGTGTTAATGTCCCTGGCTCATTCTCCTGCCAGTGTGAGCCTGGTTTCCAGCTGGCTGGCAACAATCGCTCCTGTATTGGTAAGCCAACCCACACGCTCACTCCCACGCCCGGTTTTGCCATACCCTGAGTCATAGGCCAACCCACCACACACACACACTTGGAATCCAAACCCACGTACTTACACAACTCCATCCTACGCCTCATTTTCTTTGAGTAAAAGCCAAAATATTAACCAGTAAAAGAGCACTTTGTGCATGTTGGAAAACGAGAAATCGAGATCAGTGTGAATTGCTGTTTGCAGCACATTTAGCTTTCGTAATTGGATGTATTTCTAAGTGAAATAAGATATTCAATATGAAAAATAAAGTAGGACAGGACTTTATTTTATCCATCAGGAATTGATTGGATCATGGAAAGCGAGTGCTACAGCATGCATGAGAATGAAGACGAGATGAATTCCAATTTGCTAAAACATTGTCAAAATAGCCTTTTTGAAATATTAATTAAAAGAATAGTTCATCCTAAAATTTAAATATGCTGAAAATTTACTCAACTTCAGGCCATTCAAGATATAGATGAGTTTGTTTCTTCATCACAACAGATTTAGAGAAATTTAGCATTACATCACCAATGGATCCTTTAAAGTGAATGGGTGCCGTCAGAATGAGAGTCCAAACAGCTGATAAAAACATCACAATAATCCACACGTAATCTACAAGACTACAGTCCATCAGTTAATGTCTTATGAAGTGAAAAGCTGTGTTTGTAAGAAACAAATCCATAATTAAGACATATTTAACTTCAAACTGTTGCTTCTGACTGAAATACAAGTCCTCTATCTATAATATTAATTTCTCCAGTGAAATTTGACCTAAATCATCATAGTAATATATACAGATCAAGCACGTTTACAAGTGAAAACAGTCCAAAGCCAGAAGTGACAGTTTAAAGATAAAATGTTTTTAATCAGCTTTTTGGACTCTAATTCTGACGGCACCCATTCACTGCAGAGGATCTGTTGGTGAGCAAGTGATGTAATGCTAAATTCTCAGAAAATTTTTGGGTAAACTATTCCTTCAAGTCTTTTAATTTCAGTTAATTAGGATGATATTTTTCTGTAGAGTACCATGCACTGATGAACTGTACACAGTAACACCAGGAATGTGCATTAAGACTATTTTGACTCATTGGGTGCACTAAAATTAAACGGCACACTTCCTTCCTTTAAGGTATCCCTAAAACAAAAGAACTGAGTTTTTGATTTTGCTTAAGTGGCCACCTAAAATTATTAGACATTGATTTATGCCAACAAAAATAGCCATTCCAGCTCAGAGAGTATCTATTTTACATAATTATTTACATAATAATCTTTCACTTTTTGCCTTATGCTTAGTATTTTCATGTACAATCCTGTCTGCTTTGTCATTCCGTTGCGCTCAGATGTTGATGAGTGTGGCATGGGGGCCCCCTGCAGTCAGAGGTGTTATAACACGTACGGGACGTTCCTGTGTCGTTGTGAGCAGGGTTATGAGCTGGGGCCAGATGGCTTTGCCTGCAATGGTAAGCTGAGAGCAAACACAAACAAATGTGAAAAACTAAAATAAATATGCATATTTGTGAAAAATGTTGCATCTTACAACTGGAGCAACCGATCCTATTCATTCTCTGTCCTCAGACATAGACGAGTGCAGCTACTCCAGTTACCTGTGCCAGTATCAGTGTGTTAATGAGCATGGCAAATTCTCCTGTGTCTGTCCTGAAGGATATCAGCTCCTGGGCACGCGCCTCTGCCAAGGTTCACCTTAATTTAACGATCTCTTACTTCTTCCCAATTTCACTCATAGGGCAAATAAGAGACATTCTTTCTTTCTTTCTTTGAATCTAGACATAAATGAATGTGAGACAGGAGCTCATCAATGCTCTGATGGACAGACTTGTGTGAACATTCATGGAGGTCACAAATGTGTTAACAACAAAAGCTGTCAGGAACCTTACGTGCAAGTGTCGGAGTAAGTCAACAATTTGAAAATACCACAAGAAGCACTTGCAGGCTATTCAGTTCACACACAGTTATGCATCAGAACTTCCGAGATATTTTCCTCTCCATTAATTGTCTATTCTTCATCAGTAGTGCCTGTTGAGACATACCTGACATGGTTTATTTATTTTTCCATATCTGAGGCCAGTTCTTCAGTCTGTGCCTCTGAGCATGTCTCAACAGAATCTGCAGTTCCACAAGCTTTAAATGAATAACAGGTGGTCAGGCATTTCTGAAGAAATATCTGACTAGATAGCCAATTTGCTGGACATATGGTACACATACTTGTATAATTTAGTACAGTTGTGGCTAACAGTTATTAGTCATGCAAAAACTTGACTTAGTGGATACTATTAAGTTTATGTATCAGTTTAATTCAAATAAGTTTAGTGCAGTTCTGTCAAAGCCATGTAAAATGTTACTGGTTCAGTTCAGTTCATTCTAAATCAGTCCAGTCCTGTAAAAGTGTATTGACTCTTTTTAGTGCAGGTCAGTTCAAATCTATTTAATTCACTTAGGTTTAGTCCTGAAAAATGTAGCTGAAATCTGTCCTAACTGATGCAATTTTCTCTCTTTATTCAGTCGCTGTACGTGTCCTATCACAAAGCCTGGCTGTCGAGACATGCCCTACTCCGTTGTGCATCGCTACATGAGCATCACGTCAGAGCGCTCCGTCCCCTCAGATATCTTTCAGATCCAGGCCATCAGCGTCTTACCTGGAGCTTACAACACCTTCCGCATCCGCTCTGGAGATGACAATGGAGACTTTTACATCAGGGTACTTTAAAAATGATTTAACTTACTGCATATTCTGAAAGAATAACTTAATTTGGTGTATATTCTTATTTCACTAAAAACTGACGTACAGTAGTTTTTGCAATTATTTTGTCATGTCTTTTCTTACATGACAAAATAATTTTCAAAAGTCATTTCTTACCCCATTGGCAAAATATAATCTTCAATATATACACTACAGTTCAAAGGTGTGGGGTCAGTAAGTTTGTTTTTAAATTAATGAATACTTTTCAGCAAGGATGCATTAAATTGATTAAAAGTGACATTATTTAAAGAAAGTTCAAAGGAATCCAGAAAAATAAAAAAGAAATTCACAAAACACGGGTCCTACTTCTTGCCTTATCGTTCCGCAGACGTTTTCCTCTATTGTTTTTTATCCGCCATCTCTATCTTTCTGTCGCTCGGCTCGGTTAATGTCCGTCCCATGCACTGAAAGCTCTCTCCTCCACATCACGAGTAGACACGCCCCTTATTGCTGATTGGCTACAAGTTTGTTTTGCTATTCGGCCCGAATCAGTTTTCTAAAGTGTTTTTGAAAAATTACATACCCTACCTTTAAGCAGCACAACTGCTTTTAAAAAATTAAAAAAATGTTTCTTGAGCACTAAATCAGCATGTTAGAATGATTTCTGAAGGATCATGTGACAATGGAGACTGAAGTAATGATGCTAAAAATTCAGCTTTGCATCACAGGAATAAAATTACTTTTTTAAATGTCTGAAAATACAAAACTGTTATTTTAAATTGTATTAATATGTTGCACTTTTACTGTTTTTACTTTATTTTTGATCAAATAAATGCAGCCTTGGTGAGCAATGAAACTTAATTTCTAAAAATGTTACCGACCCCAAACTTTTAACAGGTAGGCCTAGAGCAGGGGTTCTCAACTCTGGCCCTCGAGGTCCACTTTCCTGCAGAGTTTAGTGCCAACCCTAATCAAACACACCTGAACAAACTAATCAAGGTCTTCAGGATTGCTAAAAAGTTACAGGCAGGTGAGTTTGATCAAGGTCGGAGCGAAATTCTACAGGAAAGTGGATCTCGAGGGCCCGAGTTGAGAACCCCTGGCCTAGTGTATGTATAATCAAGAAGACCCTTTTGATTCCTGCCATTAGACTAGTACATTTCTCACAGAGCCCAATTTTGAATCGTGTGCCTGTCATATCTGTTTCCTTAGCAAATCAACAACATCAGCGCCATGCTTGTTCTCGCCCGTGCCGTGAACGGCCCCAGAGAGTACGTGCTGGATCTGGAGATGTTTTCTGTGAACCCGCTCGTGAGCTACCACACCAGTTCTGTCCTGCGCTTGACCGTTTACGTTGGGCCTCATGCCTTTTAGCTGAGAGAGAGATGTAGAGATGCCCAGAGAGGGAAAAAGGGGGTGGAAGGGTGGAAGCACTGATTGATTCATCCAACAAGGAGGGCTTATGAGCTGAATATGTCTGGCAGCTGACAGACATCATTTCCAAGACTGTATAAAAGTCATTTTCACGAGAGATGTACCAACTTATACACCCTCTACATCATAAATAATAAAAAGGCTATTAGAGACAGGCACTATATTTTAAGGACAAGATGTCGACAAGATAACAACTCACTATATTGTCATATGGAAAATGGCAAAGTTACTAGCTGCACTATGACTCCAAACCTGCTGTACAACCAATGTAAACTGTCTTTTGTCATTTCTAAAAATAGCCTCTTTCTCAGGATGAGGGCTGCAGCTCTGCAGACTCTTTCCACTGGTTTGCTCTTCCAGTTCAGAAGTCAGCAATAATAATTAATCCCTCCTATTCAAATAAATGTAGCAATAACAATATCAAGGCTGTAAAAAGTATCTCTGTGTGTTCTTAAGTGTCAAAAAGCCTCTTTTAATTTTCCACTATGTATAATCCATCTCTGAGTTCAGTATTGTTTTTATTCATTGTTGTTATTCAGTAACCACTTAGTCATTCCAAACCTCTACCCCACCACCACCACCATCAATAATGCTCATGTTACTTTGTGTAGTTTTTTTATACCACGCTGCCGTTGTTGTATTTCCATCCTGGATTTATTACTGTAATAAATTTGATAAGACCATAAAATTCTGGCTCCAGACCTCCATATGTTTGCCTTCCCGCTGGGATGTTTTCTTGGCATTTCTCTGCTATGCATCCTCTTCCTCCTAATAGAAAGTCTCGCTCACGTGCCCTGCTTATCCCTTCCACCCACTCTTGCGATCTCTTGACTCATCTAACCACGGGATAGACTGGAACCCTACTGAGCAGCTGTCCGCCTCTCTGCAGCCTCATTAGCACAAGCCTGACAAGAGATAGAGCTGATTTAGAGAGCCGATAACATTGTATATTCAGTATAATCTACAGCCTCTTGTCTGAGCTAGGGCTGGACGATATGGCCAAATTTGATATCACGGTATATTTCTTAATTTCGGTCGATACGATATAATTCCGATATCGATATGAACACTATTTATCTGAAATAGAAATCTTTTGTAACATTATAAATGCCTTTATCATCACTTTTGATCAATTTTAAGCATCCTTGCTAAATAAAAGTATTAATTTCTATAATTTCTTTCCCCAAAAAATAATAAAAATTATACTGAATGGAATAGTGTATAATGTTACAAAAGCTTTTTATTTAATGTACTCAACTTAACTGCTTAAAATCAATATTTAAAACTCAACTGTTTTAAATATTGATAATCATCTGCGGTCTTTACGTTCCACAAGTAAGTGACGATAATGGCATCAATCGATGTCTACTCAGGGCATAAAAGAAGAAGAAAAAACAAAGAAAGATAGGAGATCAAGAGGAGAAAACCTTTTGCTGTGAAAGTGGTCACCCATACTAGGAATTAGTGCTCTGCATTAACCCATCCTAAGTGCACACACACAGCAGTGAACACACACACACACACCGTGAACACACACCCGGAGCAGTGGGCAGCCATTTATGCTGCGGCGCCCGGGGAGCAGTTGGAAAAACAGTCCATATTTATGGAAAATATTTAAAGTGCAAGACAGTGACATTTTATTTAGTAAAGTAGGACACGCTATTCCAAAACTCAGTCTTTTCTGATCAATACTATGTTAGTTCGACTGAGTCACAGATGCAGGTTAATAGAGCTTTCTGGATCTAAACCGTGTCCAGTACTGACAGCAAGAGGGCTATTTCTGAATTTTCAGAATGGCAAAGAAAACTTCTCTGAATGGAATTGCAGTGGTCTGAATCATAATGGAGTTATTGTACCTGAGGCTACTAGGGTAATGATGTCACAAGACTTAAAGTACATGATTGTGTGTAGGAAGTGTTCTTTTTAATATTTGATTTTGCAAAAATTTAAATAAGTTAAAATGCATTTTTTTTTATTAATGTTAAATAATATAATCTATTTTAATTTAAAATGGTCTTCTTTTAACTGAAATTGCCCTTTTAGTAGACACATAATAATTACATAATTTTAATTAGAATTATATAACATCTGAATTAAAATGGTCTTCTTTTGTAATAAAAGGGCAATTTATAATAAATTATTAATAAAATATATTACATTTAGTCTACCTTTCAAATAAGTACAAATTTAGGCAGATGTAGAAAAATAATACAATAATAAAATAAAACATTTTTGAATTAAAATAGTCGTTTTGACAGAAACGGTCCTTTTATTTAAAAAGTATATAATATAATTAGTGCTGTCAAATGATTAATCGCGATTAATCGCATCCAAAATAAAAGTTTTTGTTTACATAATATGTGTGTGTGTAGTGTACTACTGTGTATATTTATCATGTATAAATATATACACTCAAATACAACATATATTTAGGAAATATTTACATGCATATACATTTATATATTTATATTCTTATATTTTATATTATATATAAATATATTTAATATATAAACATATATTTTTCTTAAATATATACATGCATGTGTTTGTATTTATATATACATAATAAATATAAACAGCACACAGACATATATTATGTAAACAAAAACTTTTATTTTGGATGCGATTAATCGCGATTAATCATTTGACAGCACTAAATATAATATAATATATGAATTAAAATGGACTTTTGACAGAAATTGTTCTTTTATTTCAAGTTGACAAATGGTATTATAGATCAGAATTATAATTATACTGTATATTATTGTGCATTATTGTATTGTATTGTACTGTACATCCATCCATTCATTCTCCAAACTGCTTATCCTATATGAAATATATAATATTCATACAATACAATATAGGTGTTGGGGATACAATACATACGAAATTTTCGGAATCGAGTCCAATTCTGAATCCCGGTTCTGGAATCGATGGGATTCGATTCCAAGAATCGATTCCTTTGGAATCGACTCTCAATTCCCAAAGCCTTGGAATCGATTCCAGCCCTACCTACACACACACACACACACACACACACACACACACGTGTCCGGTGAGAGAGAACAAAGTCAATCGTTGTGGAACTCCAAGGCTGTCAAGGCTATTTTATTCACATAAACATCGGATGAAGAGATTATTTTCTCTTTAATACAGATGATGCCAATATATTTTTCGATGACTCGCTATGTTAGCAATAACAACGTTATCGGCTTGACGGACAGGGTTGCCAGGTTTTCGCAATAAAACCCGCCCAATTGCTACCCAAAACTAGCCCAAACTAACCGAGTTTCGAGGGGGTCCCCCGATAAAAATCGCGTTCCGGGGACTAAAATACACGTTATTGGGGTCGCTTCAACCCGCGGACATGAAAAACAACCCGCGGCATCAGTGATAAAGTAGCCCAAATCCATTGGAAAACCGCGGACTTGGCAACACTGTGACGGATACAACGAACGAGCGCAGTCTCGGAGCGACCACAGCAGCTTGAAGTTGTCTAGTTTGGCACGGTCTCCCTGCCTCCCTAATAGGCCTCGTAGTAAGGCTTTCCTCTGTGTAAACATATCCTTACAAGTTCAATTTTAGCTGTATTATTTGTGTCCCCTTAAAAAAAATCGCTCTTGAGAAAGTTTATGTTTATTGCCCCCCCAGCTTTTCATGAGTGACCACTTGCACAGATCAATCAGAGCCAGAAAAAGCAACAGGAAAATACCCACTTTAACCGTTTCATCGTCCCCAGCATTGCTCGCCCGTCTCCAGTGCTCTGTGCCAACAAACACACACCGTTCTACCCTCTCTGAAACAACCCAATGATGACTCATTCCCTGCAATGTCTTACATAATCACAGGTCTGGAAACTGACTCTGGTCTGCCACATGGGGGCAGTGCAGCACACCGAGTCCAAGGCCCAAAATAGACACAACTTGAAGTGATGGAATCTTGCAGCTGGTTTTGTAACCTAATTGTCCAGTGAACCAGATTCTCTACCTTCTTCCTGTGAACTGAGTGGCTACATGTTCCCGGGCTAGACTGTACAACTGTGAACAGCGTCTTATACAACCATACAGTAAGTCACGCACACATACACACCTGAGATTCTAGATGAGTAATACGATGGGCACATTCATTGGTAAACGCAGACGGACACAGATGGCACCAGCAGGTTGTTTCGATCATTACCTCATAGCAGAGATCATGATAGAGACGTGTTCTTTAGGAAGTGGGTGACGGGGATGTATGTGGGTGAGAACATGGCATTCTCACGCCGTTTCCTGCTGGACGGCAGACAAACGGTAAACCCAACTGTGAGCCAAATGCAGGAACGAGATGTGCTGTACCCACCCAGCAGGCACGGAGAGAGAGAGAGGAGGGCTGATGAGCTGTGCCAATATGCCTCCGCATGTGGAGGTGTCCTTGAGAAAAGTGTGTGTATCTATGCATCAATCCATGAGCGTGTGAAAATGTTTTATATAGAGACTTGTGTCACGGTGTCCTATGGAGTGGAGGGACACTCCACAGTTCAAGCCAATTGTGACCTCATTTATGGGTCAGGAACAGGTGAGTGGGTGGAGTGGGAATGGACCGGATGTCCCAGGATTGAATGCCCTTTCTGATCATCTATTTAGAATAATGTGAATTTTGCTAACTTTTGAACTGACTGCTGGCTATGGACACCACTAACAAAAAATGTTCTAAGAACATTTTGCTAACGTTCTCATTAAGTTATGAAAGCGTTTTCAGAATGTTGTCAGAATGTTCAAATGTTCCATTTGTTAAACGTTGGAATGATATCATTTTACAAACATTCTAGGAATGTTAATTTTAAATGTTCTCTGAACCAAGTAGTAAGTAGTAACATAAAAAAAAACACAAAAAAAACAGACTGACGTCCAACTAAACTGTTTCAGAAAAAAAACGTTCCATTAACAATGTATAAATATTTTTGTGTCTACTAATGTTACGTGAAATAACATTCTGAGAACGTTCCCCATTCGCTGATGCTAAATGTGGTTGTCATTCAACCAAAAACAAAATGGTTTTTCAAAATGGCAGCTTTCTGCATTCTGTTCAGCCTGTATTAATTCATCACTTTCTTTCTGGGAAGCTGATTCTCAATGCTGTGTCTGCAATCTCTTATTTTGTCCTCACCACAGTGAAACTGTGTGGCAAAAAGTGTGGGCAAATCCAAAAAACTGCTGATCTGGTTATTTCTTTGCAGTTTGCACAGCCAGGAACGAATGCTTTTTTTATAGCCAGGAACGAGAGTTTTTCCTTCATGCCTGAGTGCACACATTAATTGAGACACAGGACCCCTCAGGAAATTCCCCACAAACACGGCTGCTGTCAGTCATTGAGACAGAACCCCTATATTTACCTGGATATCCATGGTTATTTTTGAATGAAAAGAGGAAACACTATTGCCCTCCGCCTCCTTTTTCAAACACATTAGGCCATTACAAAACAAGCACTCACCGTCCGTGACATCCGCTGCATTAACTACAAACAACAGAGAAGTATTCATGATATCCATGAAGAACATCCATGGAATATGGGATATTTATAGAGGAAAAGGGTTATTTAGAATGGTTCTTTTAATTAATTTTAATAATTAACTTAATTTTAATTGTTCACTGAAAGGCTCTTTGGTGAACCAAAAGTGGTTCTTAATAAAATAAAAT